CCATGGTACCTTACACTGTCAAACTTGTTTTTAGGGGGTTCAAATTGGGGTGGGTGGGACATAGTTTGGGGGTGGGGGGGGTGAGCTTCAACTTGCCCAGGGCACCAAAATGGCTAGAGCCAGCACTGGTCGGTGAGGTGGCTCTTGTGTAAAATGGAGAGTGGCAGCTGTTGGGCCTGTTAAAGCTGCCTGTCTGAGTGATGCAATCATCGGTCAGACTTGAAGCGCTGCAGGAGCAGAGCTGCAGCTGGAGTGTTGCAGGTCAGCTGAGGCTCCTGAGCCGGCAGGCTGGAGCGTAGATCTCAGAGGGAGTTGTGGTGAAAAAGGAGAGGATGACCAACAAATAAGGCTGATTAGATTTTCACCACGAGGGTTCTAGTGAGACATTAAGGCAGACAAGCAAATCTACAGAAGTCAGCCTGTTCCAAAACAAGTTGTGTTTTTCTGATTTGGTGCCCCTGTGTGGCCTTGAAGGCTGGATAAAACCCTCCAGGAAGCAGGGTTATTATAGTTCACAACAATTAATTAAATAACAAAAACTGAAATTGAAAAAACATATTAGTTAACTGAAATAAATAAAACTGTAATAAAAAAACAATAACCAAACCTGTATAATCTTTTTACAATACTAACTGAAACTAAAGAAATTATAGACAGAATAACCTTAGTTTTAGTGTTTGTTTTGAGCCGTGTGGATCTTTTTTTAAATTGAGTAGTTTCACATCAGCTGTGGTTTGTAACACTTTGGTCTGCTAAATAACGACAACAAAAGTTGGGAGAAAGCAGCAACGTCCACTTTGTGATTTCTGACTGAAAAATCAAATCAAGTGTTTTGTAGTGGAACCAGGTGATAAAACAGGTGATAAAACAGGTGATAAAACAGGTGATAAAACAGGTGATAAAACAGGTGGAATACGTCTCAAGATAAAAACTACGTGAATCAAACTCACACAAGATGCTAACTGTGACTCTTGACACGTTAGCTTCTCTCAGTAGCTCCATGAAAAACAAACAACAGGTTGGAGACAAACTATCGTCATCGTCCTAAAATAATCACCAAGGTTTTATTTGGCTAAACTGAGTTACATTATTTTATGAAGGTGTTGCTGTAATGGACTGATTTAACTAGTGACCAGATATCTGCAGGTTAGTTAACTCACAGGAACATCACAAGATGGAGGAGGCTTTGATAAATATGTTTATTCAAACTATAAAAAACTAATCCTAGAACTAATAAAAACTAAACTAAAACCAAGCATTAAAATGCAATAATTACTAATAAAAACTATCAAATTCTCTGTAAAAACTGATTCAGACCAACTGAATTAAAACAAAAACGTCAGAACAAAATAAATCTAAACTATAATGAAAAATTTAAAGCTATAACTTTGCGTGGCAGTATGTGTCAACAGATGCTCGTCACCTCCTCCCTCTGGTGTCCAGGAGCAGCCAAGGCTGACCTGATGAACTCAACATCTCTTCAGGAACTATGGAGGGTGGGCTTTGGGGACTTGTTTCATAGTCTTAAAGATGCAGAAATGTGTAAACAACTACACAACTTCAGATAAACCCCCCACCCCACACCCCAATCACCGTCTTTGCTGGTTAAATGTGTTTCTATGCAGAGAGGCTTTTATTTTGAAACCCACACTGTGTCCTTGTCAGGGACAAAGTATGAGATGTTTTTTTATCCTCATGTTGACTTTTCTTTTTTCTTTTTCTTTAAGGGTAGCATGGCTGCAGGACCTGAGCACCTGTTCTCCCATGTTTGTTGTTTGTATTTGTCTCTCTTGGATGAGTTGTTCCAAACTGTATTTCACTGTGCTTAAAGGTACAATGACAAATAAAGTCATCTGAATCTGAATCTTCTTAAAAATAATTTACATTTCATGTATTATTTCACTGCATTTGGCCCGGGGCCCCGTTTTGTTTCTCTCAGGGTAAAAGTTTGGACCCCCTTGATTTAAAACAGACTATTTTACAAGAAGAGGAGAAAAATCAAACATCTGCAACAAGGAAATGAAAAGTTTCTTTTCAAACTGAAAACATTTATTAGAAGTCTGCATGAAGTAAGTAGAAGTGCTGTAAACGTACTGTGCGCAGGAATGAAATGACTTTATTATGAAGCAGAACAGAATATATCACATATAAAACACACTGGAGGCAAATTTAATTTAATCTAAAATTTGTATTTTATGAGCTAACTGACAGTCAGCTTACAGAACAAAAAGTATTTTACTACACAAACTGATGTAATCTGTTTAAACAGACGTTATAATCACTTAGACAAACACACATTTGCAATAGTGAAATAGTGAACACAGACACACAGCTTCTTACAGTTTTATGTTTGATTCACAGCAGAGCTGCAGTTTAACTCTTTATATTTAAATACAAACTGTCTGCATGTGACAGAAGCACACACACAATTATGTACCTGTCTGTACTAGAACCATGTACTGACGTCAGTTTGGAAGTCTTCATTAAACACGTGGTAACACTTTACAATAAGGTACACAAAAACTACTTAACTGAGAAATGACTCAGTAACTACTGAGTAACTACTGGGTAAGTGCACCAAAGACGAACTACTGAATAGTTGTTGAGTAGTCACTGAGGACACCAAAGTGTCAAGACTAGGTCTTGTAGTTTCACTGAGATGTCAGTAAACAAAGAAGTTTTAAATATTTTATTTAAAAATGAGATGTTGGATCTGGATCGGGTCGTCACAGGAAACTGGAATTCTAGACAATGAAAGATAAGGTTAGTGGCTGCCAAAAACTTACAACCAAATTTGGAACTAAAATTAGCCACTGACCTTTTTAACAGTGTTGTCAGGGAATCCTTTCAGTGACGTCAGAAGTAAGAGCGCAGCTCCGAGCGTCTTCCAACAGTTCCGTGTTTACACTTGGCTTTGTTTGTGGTGTGGGCTTGGGTCATACACATGAGATGAGGAAATAGATCTTGAATAATGGGAACAGACTCAACTCTTAATCCAGGAACACAGGCGTGGGTCAGAAACCGAGGAGCAGAGAGCCGAACAGGACCAACAGGGGCTGAACCAGAGGGATTCCAGGTACATGAGCAGAGGTCGCAATGGGTCAGAGTTCCGAACAAAACCAATGAAGGGTCGAGCAGAAGGCAGAGATCCATAAACCAGAAGGAGAGTCGAAATCAGGTAGATAAGACGTGACATAGGATTGCTAGACATTTACTGGGCAGAACCGTTCAATAATCAGGCAACCAGAGACTGGAAGTTTACCGTATATACATACAGGGTAAAACAGGTGGAGATAATGAGCAGGAAGGCCTGAGAGCGGGGAGAATACAGACCGCACAGGTGAACTGAAGTAAAGATACCGAGCAGGACTGATGGCTGAATACAAAAAGTGTATTGACAAAATAAAAGAAACAAGAAATAAAAACTAAAATAAATACTAGACAATCCATCCATCCATCCATCCATGTTCTTCCGCCTATCCGGGGTTGGGTCGCGGGGGCAGCAGCTTCAGAAGGGAGGCCCAGACCTCCCTCTCCCCAGCCACTTCTTCCAGCTCCTCCGGGGGAACT